GGGTGCAAGCTAGCTATGTGTGCCTCGCGCGAGCCTGTGTGGGCCCTTGGCAGTAAAACATGTGAAATTACTGTACAAAGACAATGATGCCAATTGTCTAAGATGCGTAATCGCAATTACAGAGAAGAAAATATGCAATTTGTAAGTCAAAGTAAGAGCGTGGTGGTAATGATGCTCCACTGTGCAGCTTCTCGTTACTGTACTAATCTCTCACAATACATTTAATGAGGAGCGCGATCAGAGCAGGCTGTTGTGCAGGTTGCTCACATGCGTTTCGCAGTGGAGGCTGATCCAACAAAAGGTTTTCTTCAGAAGCTCTACACTGAGATCAGGTCGTATTTGTACTGAGATGGTGGAGCTTTGTTACCAGATGGCTTACAGAGGTAACTATGAAAGGATGAACTGATTAAGACTAATTTAAGGCAATGGATAGGAGATTCTGAAGCTAGTGTGACAATCCATGAACAAACAAAGCCTGAACTTTCTAGGTAAAGTCAGACTCTACCGTCTGTTCCTTTGTGGTTCTGTGTATTTTCGAAGATGCAGGGTGCTAAAAGGGGATACGTTGAGCAAAAGACTACAGATTGCACTTGGCTAGTTTCCTCCCTTTCAATATCTCGGCAAACATTAGGATCTCATATCTTTGCACAGACCTTTCAGAATCTGGATGTTGATGGATGTATATTATAGTGAAGGGATGTAGATTATATCGCAGAATCACATTTAAGTTTTTTTAATGTAGACTATTTTGCTTAAGAATATATTTATTAAACCTAGGAATGTAGTTCTTTGGTTTTTGTGAAAACTTATTTATGCTCACCTCCAGTCCAACCTACCCAGACATGGTGGCTGCCGATGTTACAGAACTTAGAACTGGGTGTTTCCATCTTTGTAGAACCGGGTTAAAGGTGACCATTTAGGAACCTTCAAGGTCTTGAGCCTGACTGAGAGCGAATCTTGCTGACGTCATTAGGATGCGGATGAGGGTCACTAACTTTGTCATAAATGAAATTCATCCATGATACTGCGCTCAGTTTCTTAACCAATCCAAGGCAGCATTGTAGTAGTTTTAACAGCCTGCTTGCATATGATGTACTGCAATGCAGATGGAGGTCAGAAAGTGATTTTGTACATAAGAAGCACCGTCACAAGCTCTCAAAATCCCTATGGTTTGCGTCTTTTATGGTTTTCAACTCGATCTAGCTGAGAAACCATGAGGAGCTTTTATCAAGAACCAAAAGTTGTTCATAAGCAAGAAAAATGCAAGAAATAGACCAAAACACAGCAGCAAAAATGACTTGTCTGCGGTCAAGAGGAGCAGAGACAGTTCATCTGTGGGTGTGCACTGATAATAGATCTAAAACAACAGCTATAAGCAAAACCACTAATATTTAGATCAGGGTTAACAGTTACACAAAACACAGACAAGTAAACAAGTAAATAACACCCTCATATGCCAGCTGCTTGTTTGAATCCCATTCCATCTTAAATGGTGCAACAGGAAGCCAACTTCAGCCTCATAATGTTTTATGCCTCCATGCTTTGTATGCATTCTTGAGTTGTCAGTCTGGAGGATGAAGTAGCTGGTTATATCTACTGCCTCAATAGCGGTCATCGCTCCTCTTTATAAATATTGTGTCCAACATATGTTGTAATTTTCTGTTTATGCCTTTCTCTCGTAATATCGTATAAACTAGCACAGGACAGGCCTGTCTCCATCTCGTCCACTCTGCTTTTCACTTCCTACCCTCCATCTGGACTGCGTCATCAGAAATATATGACTGCAAGCAACATATTGTATATGTAGATTGCCAGTTATGCATATAATTTGCATAAAGCTATAACGGCTTTGACCAAGTCTTTGTTAGATGGGGAAGACACCTGCAGGTGTCACCTCCACTCACTCTCGGAGAACATTGTGCTCCTATCTCTTACTCCATACAAATGTGATCGAATGCTTAATTTCATGAAGGCAATCAGCTTCATTTATTTTAACTTTAATTGTTTTTGTACAAAGCCTGATCTTCAGGGAAGCAATCAGTAAACGTGTTCCAGGATCCATGCTGAACCATAATTGCTTTATTTTTGTGCATGTCCAGATCTGAGTCAAGCTGTTAGCCATTTATTTCACAAAAATATCTTTTTTTTTCCTTTGTAGAATAACTTGTCTGTGTGAGTTTGTGCTCACTTTGGGCTCAAATAAGGCGGAAATCTTCAGCGTGACGGTGACAATATCTCTTAAAATTAGCACCGTAGCCTATTAGCAATGGCAATTAAACAAATGTGGCGTCTTTGTAGTTTAACTTCTGACCACAAGACATGTGGAAGCTTTGAACAGGCACTAATCAGCTCTAGAGGAATTTAAAGATCTGTCTTGTTGCATAAAGAAACAGATATTTATGACATTTTATCCGTTTGTCTACTTTACTTATGTGATTTCATATTTATTTGGATACATAAACAACACCTGTTCAATAATATAATAGTGTAATGTTCCCATTACCTGTAACTGTAATGATAGATGCTATAAAATTTGTGATGTCAGCTTGTCTGATCTTAGCTTATTCTAATTAGCTGACATTTCACCAAACATTGACACTCATCATGATAATTAACATATGACACCGTTATAATATATGACCAAAAGTATGTGGACACCCCTCCTAATTAGAGTAAAGGAGTTTCAGCTACACCCATTGCTAACAGATCAAGCACATAGCCATGCAATCTCCATAGACAAAGCCTGACAGTAGGAGGGGTCATGCTGAAGAGCTCAATAACTTCAAACATAGCTGCCATGTTTACCACAAATATGTTTCTGAAATTTCTCACCTGCTAGATCTGCCCCAGTCAACTGTAAGTGCTATCACTGTGAAATGTAAGCATCTAGCCACTGTTGCAACACTCACTATCAGTTGCAAACTGCCTCTGCAAGCAGCATCAGCACAAGAACTGTGAGTCAGGAGCTTCATGAAATGGGTCTTCATGGTTGAGTAGCTCCACAAAGGCCTAAGATCACTATGTGCAATGCCAAGCATCGCCTGAAGTGATGTATAACACCCTATCACTGGACTCTGGAGCAGTGATCTGGAGTTATGAATCATGCTTCACCATCTAGCAGTCTGATGGACTAATCTGGGTTTGGCAGATACTAGGAGAACGCTGCAATAATGCATAATGCCAACAGTAAAGTTTGGTGGAGGAGGGATAATGGGCTGGGGCTGTTTTTCAGGGTTTGGGCCCCTTAGTTCCAAGCATACGAAGGCATTTTAGACAATATGCTTCCAACTTTGTGACAACAGTTCAGGGAAGACCCTTTCCTGTTCTAGCATGACTGTGCCCCTCGGTAGCACACAGAAAGCTCCAGTTCCACATGCTAACCAACAGTGAGCAAAATGGGCCTGAATGCATACCAACTACAGTTGATTAAAGAAAGGCTGATATTTGCATTATAGTTTTTAGCCCTTTTTTTCAAAACACTTTTCACTCGATGTGTGAATTTGTTTTGTAATCTCAACAGAGTAGTGCTAAACGGCATTAGCAATCGTACGAATTAAAAAATAAATATTCATAGCAGAATCACAACAGTGAAGCAACATGTGGGCAGCTAATTCTCAGTTTAATTATTCAGCAAACTGGAGCAGCTGCACATGAGCAGCTGCCCATTAATCTAAGGTCACCATGCCTGATGCCAAACATCAGATAGCATTTGGCTGTGGAGCAGTGGAACTGAATTCTCTGGAGTGATCGAGCACCATCCAATACCTTTGGGATGAGTTGGAGTGATCCAGAACTGATCATCCAACATCAGCACCTGACCTCACTAATGCTCAATCAAATTTTCACAGCAATTTTCCAACATCTAGTGTAAAGCCTTCCCAGAGAAGTAGAGGCTGTTACTGCAGCAAAGAGGGAACAAATTCCTCATTAATGCCTTGATTTCAGAAGAACTGTGAGATGGTTTATGAAGCCTTGAAAGTTATAGAAGGGTAACAAATTAAAGTAACAACACCATATTGTCTTAATAAGTACTTAAGTCCCGCTTCACTGCCCCTTAGATTCTATGAGTCTCTGGAACTGTACTGGACAGACGGAACTCCTCTCTTCCAAATGATATTCCCTTAGTTGGTGTTCTGGTCATGGTGGTGGAGAGAATGCGGGCTGTTCGAAATATTTCAAAGGTTTTCAATTGGGTTGAGATCTGGTGACTGCGAAGGCCGTAGCATATGTTTTATGTCATTTTCATACTCATCAAGCCATGCAGTGACCCTTCATGCCCTGGGGATTTGGGCAGTGTCATCTGGGAAAAGACCACTCGCATCAGGATGGAAATCATCATAAGATAAACGTGGTCAGTCAGAATAAGTATTGATTTGTTCCCGCTATAGATACTAGGTGAGCCAAACCATGCCAGCAAAAAGCCCCTCACAGCATAACAGAACCACCTGACCTCCTTACTGTACAGGTCAAGCATTCAGGCCTGTACCAGGCCTATCTAAGCTGCACATGCACTCACCCACTTTCCCACCAGCACCTTTGTAGACCAGTGTCTCAAATGGTCATTCATCTTTGTAATTAATGAGGCATTTATGCACTATATTCCTACTATGTAGTTGTGGATGGACTGTTCTTGCTGCATAAGTCATATTTCCATATTTTCCATGACCTCATGTTTCCTGTTTCTAAGGTGTTCCACTATGTTTGAAAAAGTTATGTATCTGAACCGCCAAAAAGCATTTGCCTCTGTTGCCCTCATCTGCCTGTGTACTGACCTTGATTACTGCAAATGCTCTAATAATTGTGCTCTGCAATTACACCCCACCACCTCAGACCCCAGTTTGTTGCACTTAGTGCCTTTCAATAATTTAAACAACCATTTGGTGACCAATTATCACAGTAGGCTTCTTTGAGACCAAACAAAATGGTAATAAAAGGAGAGCAATTAGCAAGCTGAAACATCATGTTTATTTAATGTACCTTTTCTCTTTCTCTGATTTCAGGTGTTCCTGCACTCTTTGTATCAGCCTGGGCAATCGTCAGGGCAACAGTGGCAGATTCAAGGTGACATTCTTGCATTCATAGATTTTGCCATAATCGAACAGCATCCCTTTCCTGCATGGTGTTGCCATATGGCAACAATGCCTTTATTTAATGTTTTGCTGGTTTTCAATATAAAAATCCATTTTTTTATATTTGGCTTTATATGTAAAGTTGTATAGTTTTTTCTTGTTGCATGCCTTGTGAGACCTAACATCTGAAGTGGCCTCAAAGAGTTTGTATAATTCAATACCTATGCACTAGAAATTTCAAGAAAATAATTAAAAACTGTTTGAAAAAAAATAAAACCAGTGAAAATGGTGAAATGGAATTGTTGCCATTTGGCCACAACAGATATCAACTGAAAATAATCTGTGATGCAGGTCACAACAGATATATATATATGAAGAGAAAGAGAGAGAGAGAGAATTATAATAATTATAATTATGAAGAAAAGAAAGAGAACTTTTTTCATGTGTGTTTCACAAGTTAATCAGTATTAATTTTATATATTTATTTACTTTAACTTTTATCCCATATATATATATATATATATATATATATATATAAGAGAAAGAGAGAGAGTGAATTATAATAATTATAGTTATTATATTATTAATATTATTATTATTATTATTTCACAAGTTAATCAGTATTAATTTTATATATTTATTTACTTTAACTTTTATCCCTTTTCTAAGGAAAAGACTATGGGGTTATGGTTAATAATATATTACATAACTGCATATGTAGCTCAGTAGTTGGTCATTATTTGCTAATTATGAATCCAATTACCTAAATAGCTATTGTTATTAAATGTAGAGTTCTATTAAAAGTAGGATAAGCATACTGGAAGACTCGCTTTTGCTGAACGCCGTGGTACACAATCTGATATGCATATTTACATTTGAGTTGCAGTCGTAAGTCTGCATTAAAAAGGGCACATTAGTCCATCGTGTAAAAATGAAAGCATTACATGCATTACCATTTCTAAGCCTGAAGATCATGCATAGATCATCAGTTTGGGCACATTAACATGAACGCTTTTAATTCATTTGGCTGACTGATCTGCTACAGGTAGCGTATGTGTGTGAAACACAGCCAAACCTGATGTGCAACATTACAGTAGCGGTTTTGTTTTTCAAGGTGAAATCCAACTAGTAAATTAGTGTCCTGTGATTCCTGCATGAAGAGTGCAATGCTCATATAACAGCAGTATTTGAGGCTTCACACTAAACTGCATCATGGCTAGCTGTCAACATCTCTTGCCTCCTTCACATGATGACATTTCTATCTTCAAAGTATGACATCTTTTTCAATTTTCCAACAATGTAACAGCTCAAAAACCACAATCACACTTTCAGTCTCTGTCGCTCTTCCAGACAATTTCAGCATGAGTGCAGCTGAACCCAGCTGTTAGATTAGAGATCTGTTTCATTGTAATGAGCTGAAGACCTTCCTTCATTTGCATATTCAACCTGATAACAGCCAGACATCAAAGGTTAGTCTGTTAATTGAATCTCAGCCTTGAGAGCATGCAGAGTTAGATAGCTCACAGCTTTAATTCCCTGTCAGCTCTATAATTATGACCACTGGCAGCTGATGAAGCATAAATGGGCATGAATATAAATAAAACCATTATCTTCCACTTTTGCAGTTTTGTTTTTCTCTCTTAAATAAACACATTTCCAACTCCACTATTGCAGTGAAAAGTGTCCTGGCTCATAGCCCATTTAAAATCCGCTTCCATATTCAAAAAGTGCCCCCAGTTTCAGCCTAGTCAAATTCCAGGACTGTGGCGAAAAGTGTCCTGGCTCCTGGCCCGGTCAAACTCCACTACCGCAGTGAAAAGTGTCCCAGTTCACAGGCCAGTCAAACTCCGAAAAACGCCTCAGCTCGTGGCTCAGTCAAATTCTACTATTGCAGTGAATAGTGTCCCAGTTTGTGGCCAAGTCAAGCTCAACTACTGTGGTGAAAAGTGTCCCAGCTGCCAGCCCAATGTTAATTAGTTTCTACGGTAGAAAGTGCCCCAGCTCTTGGCCCAGTCAAACTTTACTACCACGATGAAAAGTGTCCTGGCTTGTGACCCAGTCAACTCCACTACCATGGTGAAAACTGTCCCAGGTTGAGGCAGAGTCCAACCACCACCACAGTGAAAAAGTGTCCCAGTTCACAGCCAGGTCAAAGTGTAAAGCTGCTACTGCTACTGCAGTGAAAACAGCTTGTGGCTCATTCAAATTCCACTACTGCAGTTAATAGTGTCCCAGTTTGTGACCATGTCAACCTCAACTACCATGGTGAAGTGTACCAGGTGCCAGCCCACTAACTAACCCTGCTACCGTGAGTTCCTCAGCTCGTGGCCCAGTCAAACAGTGAAAACTGTCCCAGTTCGTAGCCAAGTCAAACTCTACTACCATGGTGAAAACTGTTCCAGTTCATAGCCCAGTCAACTCCACTACCATGGTGAAAACTGTCCCAGTTCATAGCCTGGTCAAACTCCACTACCATGGTGAAAACTGTCCCAGTTCATAGCCCAGTCAACTCCACTACCATGGTGAAAACAATTTCAGTTCATAGCTCAGTCAAACTCTACTCCCATGGTGAAAACTATTCCAGTTCATAGCCCAGTCAAACTCTACTACCATGGTGAAAACTGTCCCAGTTCATAGCTCAGTCAACCTTCACTACCATGGTGAAAACTGTCCCAGTTCATAGCCCAGTCAAACTCCATTACTCTGGTAAAAAAAAAAAGTGTCCCCGTTTGCGGCAGAGTCAAACTCCACCACCACAGTGAAAAGTATCACAGTTTGTGGCTGGGTCAAACTCCAGTACTGCGGTGAAAAGTGTTCTGGCTTTTGGCCCAGTCAATTCCACTACTATGGTTAAAAATGCCCCAGTTCACAGACCAGTCCAACACTGCTTCTGCAGTGAAAAGTGCCCTGGCTCACAGACAAGTCAAACTCGGCGACCACAATAAAAACTGTCACAGCTAATGGCCCAGTCAACTCCACTACAGTGTTGAAAAGTGATCTGACTTGCAGCCCAGAAAAATCTCTCAGATAGGCGTTCAAGAAAGCAATACAGGTATCTCAAACATACCTCAAACAATACAAAGCAAGTGAACAAAAACCAGATGTAACGCAGCAGCTAAAATGTGCACAGCATTCTTACACTGTACACACACAAACACACCCCCAGATTAGGCTGGTGGTCCTAAATATTGAGCATATAAAAAGTAAACAACTGCCCGGAAGAGCAAAGTTGACTTTAAGTGTAAATAATTGTGCATGAGCATGAGTTTAACAAATGAATTTTAAATAAAACGTCTCCTAAAATGAAACTTAAGAATGAAGGCAGTGAAAAGGCCTCACATTTATAAACAGTAGCAATTGTTATGGCCAAAAACAGTATCAGTATCTTGCAGTTGGCAGTAGAATGAATTTAGCTATGCACTTGCTGTCATTTTGTAATGCTGTGTTCAACTTCAATCGGACGTAAGAAGTCAGAGCTCGGAGTTATGTCATTTTTGACCACACGTTTGAGCTACAAAGTGGGTAAAAACATGGACGGCTCACTTAAGTTAGCCAGCTAGCATTAGTGATGTGAGCAAATACAGTTGTTCATGATGTATTTACCTTCTCAAACCAGCTAAAATCAATGCTATAGACTTAACCAAATACTGTGTCTGCATGCTGATTGACCTAACGCAGTAGTCCTCAGTGGTCCTGAAGTAACACCGCCTTGCACGCTTTAGAGATTCTCCTGCTCCCAACACAACTAATGCAATTAATGAACCTTTTTACACTTCCAACTTGCTACTTCTGAAGCAGGTAATTGCATTTCCCATCTAAGCAAAACAACCACAGTCAGCAGGGCTGTGATTGTGATGTGTTTGTGATTAAAAAAATGATCTGCTAAGATAAACATTAATGGTTCCCAGTGATACATCAGCAAGACAACATGCTGGAATATAATTAATATTGTGTAGAAAACAGCAAGTCACCATGTTACTGTTAACTTTAACCCATGAAAAAGCAGTATTTCTTTCTCTGCCCATATAGAAATCTGATATATGGGCATATATGTACATATATCATAAAGACGAAGGCATACATTTCAAAATATATGTATATATGTGGTGTGTATACATGTGTAAGTATCAAGTATTGAACATGAATGCATAATATATAATATATATTGTTGTTTCTACACTCATTGTCCATTTTATCAGCTCCACTTACTATATAGGTGCACTTTGTAGTTCTACAGTTACAGACTGTAGTCCATCTGTTTCTCTGCATACTTTGTTAGCCCCCTTTTACCCTGTTCTTCAGTGGTCAGGACCCCCATGGACCCTCACAGAGCAGGTACTATTTGGGTGGTGGATCATTCTCAGCACTGCAGTAACACTGATGTGGTGGTGGTGTGTTAGTGTGTGTTGCGCTGGTCTGAGTGGATCAGACACAGCAATGCTGCTGGAGTTTTTAAACACCTCAGTGTCACTGCTGGACTGAGAATAGTCCACCAACCAAAAATATCCAGCCAACAGCGTCCTGTGGGCAGCGTCCTGTGACCACTGATGAAGGACTAGAGGATGACCAACACAAACTGTGCAGCAGCAGATGAGCTATTGTCTCTGACTTTACATCTACAAGGTGGACTGACAAGGTAGGAGTGTCTAATAGAGTGGACAGTGAGTGGACACAGTGTTTAAAAACTCCAGCAGCACTGCTGTGTCTGATCCACATGTTACTTAATCAATCCATTTTGTTTCCAAAATGTCTCTGGCTAATCTAGATGTTGTCTTGCATACATCATATATTGACTTTTCTGATGTCAGGTCATGTTTGTGCACAAACATGTAAAACACAGTAGAACAGTGCACCACACCTGCGTCAGCTAAACCTTCCTGTAAGTCCGTTGCTGTCATGTGGGGGTTTTGCTTTGCCTTTCTGACCAGCATATGTGCAGTTCTATCTCTACTTTTACATTTCGCCTTAACTGACATTTCTTAATGACATTGTGGACGTTGGAAGCACTTTGATAGCTATGTATAGCCTTCCCCTACTTTGTAGGCATCAATTAGCCCAATTTTCATATTCTATTTTTTAAGTTAATCAGCTATAAAGTAACTGTGTATTAACATGGGCAAAACAGTTTATTTTTACCTGCAAAGTTTTTGTTTACTTCCTTTTACCTAAAATCAATAACATATGCAGTTTGGCCAGGGGTGCACACAGGTTTGCATACAGCTGTAAAGGCCATAGTGCATGTAAATGCTAGAAGCAGAGATTAGATTTTAATTTAATTTATGTTTCTTCGTTTCAGGCTTCTTATTTTATCTCTGAAAGACTGTCCATCCTTTGACACATTAATGTATCCAGACCATTAGCCTTAAGCAGCTGCTGTTACATTAGCTGTTGGTCTTTTATGAAGCTTACATGTTCACTGTAATCATACTCTCTCTCTCTCTCTCTCACATCTTGTTAGCTTATTAGACACCTTTTCCTGTGAGCTGCCGTGTCACTTCAGGTTATTTCATACTGTGTCACCTGAGCAGAGCCGCTCCTTCACAGAGCTCAGAGCTCCTTTACGCTCACTGTAATTTATTAGTGCCGTCTTGTTGTCAGTGATGCAGATGTAATGGGACATTGTTACTAATAACCAGCAGCTCTTACCATGCCTTCATTTTAATGATCCCACAGTACATGTTCCATTACTTTAGTCTGAAGCCTCCTTTAAAGAAGTGCATGTAATTAAATAACAGTTCAACAAAAAATCGAATTTACACAATTTTCTTTTTGAAATAATGATTTATTTCCTAAAATATTGACTTAACATCTCAAAATAATGACTTAACATCTCAAAATAATGACTTTTTCTCAAAATATTGACTTATTACCTCAAAATAATGATGACTTTTCTCAAGATTTTGAGATGCAATATGATAATTAACATAATTAATAATTAACTTCTAAAAAGTAATTCATTGTTTTTGTCATAATTTTGAAAAAAAGTCATTATTTTGAGATACTAAGTCAATATTTTGAGAAAGTAATTTTTTTAAAATACTATGTTAATAATTTCAGAAAAAAGTCATTATTTTGAGATAGTATTTTGAGAAAAAGTCAATATTTCTAGATACTAAGTCAATAATTTGAGAAAAAATCATTATTTCAATATACTAAGTCAATAATTTGAGAAAAAGTAATTATTTTGAGATACTTGTTCAATATTTTGAGTAAATAAGTCATTATTCTGACTAAGAAAGTCAAATTCTATTTGGGTGTCTAATTGAGACTTGCCAGTGTTCAGTAAATAGACAGTGTGATGCATCACTGTTCATGTCTGCTAACAGTCTTTCCAAAATATTTCACTAATGGGCCACATGAACAGTGGCTAATCCTCAGAGCTCCACAGTGCGCCACAGTAATTACCTATAACCGGATTATGGATGCCAGAACAAACCGGGGGTAAACAAATACAAATAGGAGCTGGAGAATATCCAGAGTAGCACTGGATATTAGTAGTAGTAGAGAGAGAGAGATAGAGATAGAGAGAGAGAGAGAGAGAGAGAGAGAGAGAGAGAGAGAGAGAGATCTCTCACTCTCTGTCAGTCTTTATTTCTCTCTCTCTCTCTCTGTCTCTGTAGCTCTTTCTCTCTTGCTCTGTCTTTACCTCTCACTTTCTCTCTCTCTCTTTCTCTATCTTTATCTCTCTATTTCTATCTGTCTTTATCTCTCTCTTTGTCTCTCTCTCCCCCGTATTTATCTCTCTCTATCTTTATCTCTCTCCCTCCCTCCATCTCTATCTCTCTCTCCATCTATTTCACTTTCTCTCTGTCTTTATCAAGTTCAAGTTTGCTTTATTGACAGGACAATTACATTTGTATTGTCAAAGCATTGCAACAATTCTCTATATAATAAAGGTCAAACAGAAAAGAGATACATATATAAAAATATAACAGTAAAAAGAGAAAATGTAAATGACAAATTAATAATCTAAAAAAATAAAAGAAAAATAATGATGATTATATATATTTCTGTAGTTAAGAAGGGAGAAAAATTACATTACATATGTTCTTATACACCTAAATGACAGTAAGGTAAAGAGAAGGTTGTGGTGGTCACTCACTGTCCCAGAGTGAATGACACTCATACTCATATCTGGCTGCAGTGGACGCTGATGGACCCTCTCCCAGTACAATCACAAATTTATCATTACATTCACCTGTCAGATCTTAAGACAAAAACATGTTTCTAAAATGCACCCAAGGACTTTTTAAACCTGCCTTTCTCGATGGCCAGGCTGTGGTCACTGAGACTGTATTTGGTAAGGATCCATCTCTGCTTCATATCTTAGACAGCAACAAGATATTTGGTCAATCAACATTCCTGTTTTAGGGCCTGAAAGCAATTCGGTTTGTTCTGTGATTGAATTTGGTGTTTCCAATGTTCCAGGCAAGTGTTTCTGCTTTGTTTAATAATTTGGTTTACTCTGATTGGTGTTTGGGAAGCAGTCCTGGTCAGAGAGTTTGAGTTATTGGGGGTCAGTGAGGTGGTCAGTCTCTGTAACAGCTGACACAGGGGACTCTGATCTGAGTTTTGGGACTTGATTTAAGATGCATCCAAAATGTAAGTGTTCTTTTTTCAGTGTTGATGATTAGTGGGGATCTGCCTAATTCAGCCCTGCATGCATTTGTTAGAATCATTTTACAAAATTCTGCATGCAGGACTTCAGTGGGAAGCTTTTCTCATGTGGTGTAGTCATGATGACTGAGTGGACCCAAAACCGTACTACCATACAGCACAATGGGCAGGATTACACTATCAAAGATCTTTGACCAGATTCTATTTGGGATATTAATCTTGGATAACTGGTTCCTGATTGAGGTGAGGGCTCTGCAGGTCTTTTCCTTCAGCACATTCACTGCCAGACCAAAACCTCCTGAGGCACTTTTTTAGTCTTAGGCAATCATAGGAAAGAGTTTGATCTGGGGCGGTGTCTCCTAGATTGAACATATGTCTGCTTTCCTGGGGTCTGGCTGTCTTTTGGAAGATCATGACTTTAGACAGCAGGGACAGCAGGACAAGGTCGTCCGTGTAGAGAAGTTTAACTTGCGTTTGGTTTAGTGCCAGTCCAGGTGTTGCAGATTGTTCCAGTAACACCACTAAATAATTAACGTATGTATTAAATAGTGTAGGGGATAAGCTGCAACCCTGCCTGACACCACAACCTTGAGTGAAGAGATCTGTCATTTTATTGCCAATCTTTACTCCACATATATATCATTGTGCCAATAATATTATTGATTTAATAATATCATAGACTCATAAACTTCACCTCCTACACCATTCTGGAGAATTTTGTAATATAAACATTACCAAATAGAATCAAATGCTTTTTTTAATCCATAAAACAGGAAAAACCTTTTCTTTATTTTGTTGGTGAATATGTTGGTTGATTAGGGTGTGCAGGGTGTGAATATGGCCAGTAGTGTGATGATTTGGTAGAAAGCCAATATGTCTTTTACTCTAGACATTGTGTTTGGTAAGGAAGGCCTGTATTCAGGCATTACTAATACAGCAGAAAACCTTCCCTGGATTACTGCTCACACAGACGCCTCGCTAGTTATTAAGGTCCAATCTGTCTCCATTCTTGTAGATTGAGGAAATAAGCTCCCAGCACCAGATCTCAAGAAAGCAGCCAGACTGGAGAACGATGTTGAGCAGAGCCTGCTACAGCTCAGGGCTGCTGCTCTTCAGCATCTCTGTCAGGGCCTCGAGGTTTTCTGAAGTGTTTTGATGTAGTTATTTAATTTTTCTTGGAAGATTTAGTAACCAAGTGGGTCTTGATAGTTTTCTTTTCCCAATTTTCTTCCTAATTCAGTTGTGTCCAATTCCACCCACTAGTTAGGACTCCCTCAATCACACAATACTACCAGCACTAGGAGAGCGAAGGCTAGCACAAGCTTCCTCCGAGACCTGTGATGTGCCACTGCATCTTTTCAACCTGCTGCTAATGCAATGTCACTGGACAGCTGAATTTCTCAAAGTGATTTTTCCAGATATTTGGATTTTCTATGCCCAGATTGTTGAGCTTTGTTGTTCAGGTTATTCTACAGCTCCTAGACATTCCGGTCAATGGAGTTTTCTATTTTCTTTAGATATTGAACATAATGGCTGTGTCTTAAAACCTTTTTATATTCTCTTAGTGTTTCAGCATTATTTGAGTGAAGTTGAGCTTGGTGTGATTCTCTGTGTCTCTGATTTGATGTCTTAATTTCTTTTTTATTCTTTTACTACTCTTCCTTCTGAGGTCTTTGGTTGTGTTTGATGTTGATCAAATTGAGACTTGCTTTCTTAGCTGATATATGTTGTTAATTTGTGACGTAGCCATATTAACACCTGATTGGTTAAATTCAAATTATTCTGATAAAAAATTTCTTAGTAAGGTTAGTGATTTCTGAGGAGACAATAGCGTTTTTACATTTCATTTACATTGTCATGATTCCATCTGAGTGTGTTGTGTTGTACTGATTCAAATATTTTTAAATTAGATTTCTACAGAAATGTGTCATTTCATGGCAAAGAAAGCCCTGTGAGCTTTTTCTCTCAGTTCACTCACTGTCTGATGAAAATTCTCTCTCTCTCTCTCTCTCTCTACCTATTTCATTATCTGCTGTTTTCCTCTGTGACTCTACTTCCGCTCTATGGCTCTATCTGTGTTTCTGTGTGCAGGTGCTGGGAGCTGAGTGCAGGAAACATCAAATGGATCTACCAGGTCCCTATTCTGACAGCCATCGGAGTAAGTGGGTGAAATATATAACACACTGGAATATATATACTGTCAAGCGCTTAATAAACAGTGCTTAGGAAGCCAAGTGAGCCTGAAAAAGCGTTGAAAGGCTGTCGCCGTCACGCTTGAGGGAGGGAAAACCGCCCAACTTTACTCAAACTTTATTTATTTGTTTATGTATTTTCCTGCTCATTACACAACACCAATTCCGAGCCTCTGTGGCATGTGAGGCTGATGTCAGTGTCAGAGTGGCAGGTGCATTACCATAATTGCTGTGTGTTCAGATGCATGTGCAACCCTCCCCCACCACCCTTAATGTTCACACCCTCAGTGGTTGGGATTCGCCAGGATTGTGTAAACAACCCAGGAGACGCAGCGGGGGAACCCACTCGCCAAGCACGTTTTTTTCCCCTCCGCGCTTCATTAGGAGCATTTAGAACGGATAAACACAGCCGGTTCGAATTTCAAAGAGGGGCCGCGTCAACACGTACGCGAGTGTGTAGCGCAGAGTTTGGCAGAAAAGCAAAAGCAGAGAGGAGGTGGTGTGAGTGCAGGGAAAGAGATTTACATCACAAGTCTTACCTGAGTCTTTTTTTACAAAATAAATTCAAAGTATTTATTGTGTCCACTCTATACCTTTATTACAGCGTTATTACAGAATGTTCCAGCCCAATACTGTCCAATATACTGCTGCATACGGAGCAAATTCAACTTCATATTTAATTATGAATATGCTGTGTAGTCTAATATGAACTGACATTAGGGATATAAATGCTTTATTACTTTTTTACAATTAAAAAAGCCGAATATAATGAGTATGGGTTTCATTTGGAATGAGTAAATATATGGGAAAAGTTTAGAAGCAGTTCAGCTCTCATTAGTTATTAATTTATATACAGATGCAAACAGAGGTTTATCCTGGGTGAGGATATTACAGATTCCCAAAATACTGTTACCACAGCTTGTAAATGTAACTGTACTGTTTACTCTTCTACTAAAACAAGTCCGGATTTAAGCATCTCTAGCATCTCTTAATAAGGTTGAACAATGTAGTCTACTAACATGATTAGCTTAATCAACCTTTCTTACCAAGTTGGTCTACCAGCATGACCGGCTTGACCAAGCTTGATGACCAGCATAACCAGTTTGACTAAGCTGGTCTTCTAGCATGACCAACCTGGTCTGTTATCTGCACCAGCTTGGCCCTGTTTGTTGACCAGCTTGACCAACCTGGTCTACTAACTTAACCAGCTTGACCCTGATTTTTGACCAGTATGACCAGCTTGACCAATGTGGTCTACCAGCATGACCAGCTTGATCAAGCTGGTTTACCAGCAAAATCAGCTTGACCAAGCTTGCTGACTGGCATAACAAGTTTGACTAAGCTGGTCTTCTAGCATGACCAACCTGGTCTACTAGCTTACAAGTTTGACCAACCTTTTCTACTAACTTAACCAGCTTGACCCTGATTGTTGACCAGCATGATCAGCTTAACCAAGCTGGTTTACCAGCATAATTAGTTTGATCAAGCTTGCTGACCAGCATAACCAATTTGACTAAGCTGGTCTAACAGCTTGACCAATGTGGTCTACTAACTTAACCAGCTTGACCCAGATGATTGACCAACATGACCAGGTAGTCTACCAGTATAATCAGATTGTCCAAGCCTGTTGACTAGCATAACCGATTTGACTAAGCAGGTCTAACAGCATGACCAACCTAGCTTCACCAGCTTGACCCTGATTGTTGACCAACATAACCAAGGTGGTCTACCAGCATCACCAGCTTGACTAAGCTTGTTTACCAGCATAACCATCTAGACCAAACTTGCTGACTGGCATAACCAGTTTAACTAAGCTGGTCTTCAAGCATGACCAACCTGGTCTAAAAGCCTAACCAGTTTGACTGACCTGGTTTACTAACTTAACATGCTTGACCATTATGATTGACCAACATGACAAGCTTAACCAAGGCAGTCTACCAGTATAATCAGATTGACCAAGCATGTTGACTAGCATAACCAATTTGACTAAGCTTGTCTAACAGCTTGACCAACTCCGTCTACTAGATTAACCAGCTTGACCTTGATCGTTGACCAACGTGACCAAGGCAGTCGGCCAGAATAATCAGATTGACCAAGCTTGTTGACCAGCATAACAAAAGTGACTAAGCTGGTCTAACAGCATGACCAAGCTGGTCTAGTGCCTTAACCAGCTTGACCAAGGCAGTCTGCCAGAATAATCAGGTTGACCAAGTCTATTGACCAGCATAACCAATTTGACTAAGCTGGTCTAACAACCCGACCAACCTGGTCTACTAGCTTAACCAGCTTGACCCTGACTGTTGACCAAAATGACCAGCTTGACCAAGCTGGTTTATCAACTAACCAGCAAAAGTCTTTCTATCAATGACCAACTTAGACCCTTTGTAATCAGCTACTTAGCTGGATCTTTCATTTGGATGTAGCTCTATGAGAATATAGAGTGTACAGTATATCATGTACAGTTTAAATCATGAGGATTAACGTGGAGGTTATTAAAATAACCATTTTTTAATTGCAGCAGTACAGATAGGTTTGTGTGTTGCTAATTACTGTGACTAATTGTGCTGCATCTGTAGCTGCGAGGCATGCTAGCTTTGGAGCAGATGCTCTGAAGCCCGATTTATCTCAGTGTCACACACAAACACACGTTTACACACGGCACAGGATTAGCCCAGTAGAGTGAATCGCTCGCAGGCTGCGTCACAGGGAGATGCTGCTTTACTTTCAAATCATTCAGGAGTGAAATGCAGAGCTAAGATGTCAGCTTGCTTTGAATAATGGTTACTGAATGCTTTTCTGAAAAAATGAGTACAGTCATTTAAACATGAACCTTCTGTGGATCTTTAGTGTGTTTTGTGGGGTGAATGAGATCACCAGACCAGAAAAAAAAACAAAAAACCTACAGCCTCAGTTGTGCTCATACACTGAACACATCTGTCCAAAAGTTTGTAGACACCTGCTCATTCAGTGTTTCGCCCTTTGCATATATTTTGCAATGTATGAAAATGGCCAAAAAATTTGTTAAAGACATTTAAAATGTATTTTAAAACTATATTTTCCAAATGCATTTATCGAATATATTTTTGCAACTTAGAAAATGGCCAAGAACATATTTGCTGAATGTATTTTTAAAATGCATTTATTTGTATTTGTTATTACATTTTTCCAATGATATGAACTTTTAACAAAGGTTACAGATATAATTACTAATTATGTTTTGCTTTGTACTTTGCATCAACCATGTATGTTTGTGATGCGACACTGTTCAAACAAAGTGTATTTCAAATAAACAGGATATCAAATCATAACTGCATTTTTACAGCATATCAAGACCTACAACACTTGCTTTTGTCATGTTAAAGGTTCAGTTGCTAATATTTCAAATGAATATAAGTGAAATACAAATTCATTTCAAAAGTTATCCAAACAGTAAATTTACATACTTTTATTTTTCTATGGTACATTTCTATGTGTAATATTTTCTCATATATTTAAATAAATGTATTTTAAAATATATTTTGGCAAACATGCCAATATGTTCTGAAATGCATTTTAGTGTTTAGAATGTATTTCGGAATGGAATGGAATGTATTTGAAAAATACATTAATATAAGTCCATATCGGTGCTGTTGGAATAAAACCTTGTATCTCCATTTTCAGTTCTTGACATAATTTGAAAATGCCTGTTGCTCTTTATATTGTGTGTGAATTTCAAGATGAATGGACCAAAAGAAACAGCCCAAAATGACTTGGAAAAAAGTCTGGTTCCATTGACTTACATTAAAAGTAAAGTAGGTTTTTTCCTTCTCCTGTAAAGTTCATTTTGGAGATATGTGGTTTTGTTCCGACAGCAGTGATATATGTTTTTCCATAAAGGTCTTCTGAAATGAAGGGGATTAATAGGGACTTTGCCCCCCTTTTGCTGCAGTAACAGCCTCTACTTTTTTGAGTAGGCTATATACTAGATGTTGGAACATTGCTGTGAAGATTTGATTGCATTCAGCCACAAGATCATTAGTGAGGTCAGGTGCTAATGTTGGAGGCTAGCAATCAGGGTTGCTTGACACCATAGGATTCCCATTAGTTGTATGATGTATTTGCGCAATGCATGCTGGGTGTTGTAGTGAGATAATATTAATGACAACAACATCATACAAAATCGTGAATTCTCTGAAACCGATAAGGCCGAGATAGTAAACAAAATAACACAACAAATAATATTAAATGCTAGTTTGAGACCAGAATGCTTTGAGGCATCATTTTGCTTGGTGCATGAATGAATGAACAGTTGGTGTATTTTAGTACATTGTACACACTGGACACCTCCTCATCTACTGTTTCTCCTAAAATGAAGAGTATTAATAGGTTGTTTGTCCTCCTTTGCTGCAGTAACAGCCTCTACTCTTCTAGGAAGGCTTTACTCTAGATGTTGGAACATTGCTTTGAGGATTTGGTGGCAGCCACAAGAGCATTAGTGAGGTCAGGTACTGGTGTTGGATGATTAGTTCTCGATCATTCCAACTCATCCCAAAGGTATTGGATGGGGCCCCATCAGCAGTTCCACTGCTCAACAGCTCAATGCTACGGGGCTTTTTAGGGGGAAGCTTAGGCTTGTGTGTGGCTGCTCCAGACTATCCTGTTGTATTGGAAATGCTGTTCTATGGAATGAGTACAAATTACGGCAGCTAAATTTACCAACTGTAAGAGCTGTCTGGACACAATGTATTTATCAATAATATGTAAGTGGTCAGTAGTGTCCAGAGCACGCTGTACAATTGCTCACTCTGCTGTTTTTCAGCATCCTGCTCAGTGGGTGGTGTCTGAGACGTGTAGCTTCCTCCTTTAGCTTTGACTTTCAGAAAAGACATGGTTGTGAAGTTATGCAACTGTTCCACAGGGGTAACAAGTGCAAGTGGACTGCAATCAGTGCTGGTCAGATTGCTTTAGCTCGCTGGGGAGACCAGCAGGTAGTAACACATTTTCTCTTTTGTTTCATCTGTAACTTTGATATAAGATACCTATATTGGTCTGTTACAAAATACAGTGATGTTGAAATGTACTGTCAACCCCCAAAAGTAGTTGAAATTGGTGAGTTCCACTGTCATAACCTACCCCACTACCAGCGTGGCACGCAGCAGTTGTAAGAAAAACGTTGGGACAGTATGTGAAATGCAAATAAGAACAGAAATCAGTGATCTGTAAATCCATTTTGTCTTGTATTTAAACAAAAACAGTACCAAGACAAGATATTTAATGTTCTGCCTTACCAACTTAATTATTTGCAATGTTGTAAAATGTTCAAAAATCATCTTAAATTGGTGATGTTTGGGTAATTAAGGAGCTTCCAGGAAAGGCCTAGTGCTTTGTGAGTAGGGCTGGGTCAAGGCTTGCATCCCTCAATGAGCCATTGCAAAGTTTTTAGATATTCCAGTCTCTACAGTGCATAATATCACCATGTGCATAAAAAGCAAGGCCAAAAACCACAACTGAATGCCCGTGACTTTCAATCCCTCAGAAGGCACAAAATATCACTGCAGATTTCTTTGAAAAACCGAAAGTGAGTCTTATATTCACCAGTCAGGCATAACATTATGACCACCTCCTTGTTTCTATGCTCATTGTCCATTTTATCAGCTCCACTTACTATATAGGTGCACTTTGTAGTTCTACAGTTACAGACTGTAGTCCATCTGTTTCTCTGCATACTTTGTTAGCCCCCTTTTACCCTGTTCTTCAGTGGTTAGGACCCCCATGGACCCTCTCAGAGCAGGTACTATTTGTACTATTACAGCTCTGGTCATCATTCAGCATGTCCTACTAATTATCTGAAAGTTGTGAAGTTAAGCAAGACGCACATATTAAAATCATTTTATACGTTTATCTGCATCCAGATTGGCTGCAAGTTATTGAAAACAGAGATTCCAAACTTCTGAATGGCAGTGTGTACAACTAGTAAAGCTATAAAAACAATGAAAGCATATAATGAGAAGAAGTGAAGAATGGTTAAAAGTACAGGAGGGAACAATTAGTATGTAGTCATCGCCAGATAGTCCTGCTTGTAGCATTTGGCATGAATTTGATGTGAATTTCTTCTGATCCTTTCATTTTTACCTACACTGTTGATTCTAATAAGAGTACTGAGTTGTTACTGGCAACTACTGGCAGGTGAAAAACCTTAATTTCAACTAAGATATAATTTTCTATTATCATGATTAGTGTAGCATAGTAACTTAACACTTTAATTAAGCTTTGGCAACATTTGCTTTCATTGGCACATTTCAGCAGTTATAAATTGAATAAATTGCTAAAACTACTCAGATAGAATGTGACTTCAAAATAAGGCCAGAAACTTTTTTGAAAAGAGAGATGTTACTGATGTCACCTTTTAAAAAAAAGGCATTTATAAATAAATAAATTCTCATGCATAACCACTTATTTGTGCTTTTATTTGTTGCATCCCTCTAGAAATGGATGAAAGAGAGAGGGGGAAAGGTGACTTCATCTGCTAACTGACTTGTATCTTCAAGACAGAGAAGCAGCTCATGGATCATGGAATGCAAAGTCATGTCAGTGCAAGGAAAAAAGGAGCCTGTACTGTGCAAAAAGCAGGAGTTATTTCTGAGGAGATTAGATATAAACTAATCCAGAAGAAAAGCGAAAGCAAACTAAGTGAACAAACAGAAGTTTCCAAAATCAAAGTTAAAAACAAGTGATTAGAAGATACAGAGAAAATGGGACTCCTAACAAATCACCTGGAAGACCTGGTAGACACCAAAACTACCACCATAAGATAAACAGCACTTAAAGCTTTTATCTTTGAGAGGGAGGAGAAAATCAAGCTGCTCCAGATCTGAAAACATCCACAGCCATCCTTCCACTGTGAGAAGAAGACTCAGCGCTGTGGGTCTGAAAGGATGTGTAGCTGTTCAAGTAGAACCTCACTGAGAAAAGGAGACGGACACATCAAACAAAGAAGCTGAACAATGGACTGACCACCCCAGAGTCCAGACCTCAACATCACTGAATGTGTTTGGGATTAATTGTATTGAGAGAAGAAGAAAATACAACCAACTTCTAAGACTGAACTTTGGAGGTGTGGAAAAATATCCCTGCAGATTTCATTAAAAAACTGAAAGGAAAGTCAAGGGACGGTGTAATAAATGCACAGTGTGGACACATTAAATGCTGAGTAAATGCGAAATTATATTTAGTTACTGAGGCTTGACAGTTTCTGTTAAATAAACTCTTTCTGCTGGAGCTGGGAAATGGATTACTTGAACATATCGGCAGTTTTGACTGGAATAAAGGGTGTTTTTATGACCAACAAAATCATAGATATTGAATTCGTTCATAACCTTTCTTCAGAACATCAGACCCAATTACATCAATCAGATCTTCTGCTATCTGAACTTTACCCCAAACGGAACGCTCACCTTCTAATCCAATTCCAGTTCTTTTTATTCATGGCTCTTTTATGCATGAATAATGGAACTCAAAGGCTTGTATTAACCCCATTAGTAATCTGCCTTGCAGGCCCCTGACTGTGTGTGAACATGCAGCAAGCAATTTGCAGTTTTCTAATCACTCCTCCATGAATGTGACAAAAAGCATTCATCTCGTTCTAACTGCTACACCAAACACTTATGTTAAGCGCTAACTTAGCCATCTGGCGGCGGCCCGTCGAGACCGGCTTTCATCTTCAAACCATCCATAATGAATGTCTGGGATTTCATGACTAATCTCAAACTCTAATGAATTCATCACTTTTTCTTTTAAGCCTGACCCCAACAGATCGAGTCTCATCACTAATTCTGACTCTTGGCTCTGTTCTGAATGGCGGGTGGGTTGCAGTACTGCACTAGCAGGGCCAGTAGCTCATGGATAGGGGTTTATTTATCTGTGCATCTGTGTGATGTGTTTCTTTTGGCAGATATGTGAAGCGTATATTGTAGGGGTGTTGGGATGGAATCCTGTGAATAAAGCGAGATAAGATAAGAAGTTGTGTTTCACTCAGTTGAGCTGCCGATTAGATACCACAGGCTGCTGCCGTAAGCAATTTACCAACCCACTGATTCCTTTTCTCCCCTCTCTTTTTCTCCCTCTCCCAGCTCAACTTCATCCTATTTGTGAACATCGTGCGGGTGCTGGCGACCAAAATCCGGGAGACCAACGCTGGAAGATACGACACACGAAAACAATACAGGTTTGTGCAATTGGACTTTTACTATCTTTTTTTAATCTAATACAACACAGGCTACTCTCTCATTAGCACTATGCTACATAGGAATGAACTGTGCAATGTGCTAAACAGTAGGGCTGTAGTCAAGACCTCCTTTGCCAAGACTATGGCTAGTCAAGACCAACTGAAGGCCGAATCCAAACAAGAGCATGAAGTCAAGACCAAGGCCAATACTTTGGCAAAAAGTATGTGGACATCCCCCCTAATTACTAATTTCAAGGTTTTAGCCATACCCAATGCTAGTAGGTGGCAGTATTGCAGTAGAATAGGTTGAACCGAAGAGCTCAGTGACTTTAAACATGGCGCTGTCATTGGATGCCACCATTCCCTCAAGTCAGTTTGTGTAATTTCTGCCTGGCTAGATCTGCCCCAGACAACTGTCAGTGCTGTTGTTGTGAAACAAAAGCATCTCGGAGCAGCAACTCAGCCACAAAGTAGTAGGTAAACACTACTGTGGACGGCTGTGTAGCATGTAATCATCACTTATCCTCTGTTTCATCATTTACTGCCAGTTGCAAACTGCCTCTGGAAGCAGCATCAACACTAAGAGCTGTGCATTGGAAGTTTCATGAAATGGGTTTCCATGGCTAAGCAGCTACAAACAACCCTAGTTTATTATGTGCAATGTCAAGTGTTAGCATCACTGGACTCTGGGGCAGAAACGTTCTCTGGAGTGGTGAATCACGTTTCACTATCTGACAGTCTGAAGGATGAATCTTGGTTTGGTGGATACAAGAACATTACCTACCACAATATATAGTGCCAACAGTAAAGTTTGGTGGAGGTGGGATTATGGGCTGGGCTGTTTTTCAGTGTTTGGGCCCCTTAGTTCCAGTGAAGGGTGATGCTAATGCTACAGCATACAAAGACATTTTAGACAATTATACGCTTCTGATTTTGTGGCCACAGTTTGGTGAAGACCCTTTCCTGTTCCAGCATGACTGTGCCCCTGTGCACAAAGGCAGCTCCATAAAGACTTGGTTTGATCTCAACCCCACTGAACTCCTTTGGGATAACAGTGATGATTGTGAGCCAGGCCTTCTCGTCCAACATCAGTGCCTGACCTCACAAATCTTTTGACAGAATGTGCACAAATTCCCACAGACGCACTCCAAAATCTTGTGGAAAGCTTCCCAGAAGAGCAGCCACAAAAAGGGGCCAACTCTATATTAATGCCCACGGTTTTGCAACGGGATCTTTTGTTCGATTCCACACAGTGATGATCAACTTTGCTTGCACTCGTGTGCAGAGTTTATATGTTCAGCTGTTAACTTCTCGACAGCCTGTATATACATATATAATATTGGATATTGAATATTTTATCATATTGTATTTTGTTACTGATTTATATTCGTGTCATGATTAGCAACACTCTCTAACCCCTTAAAGTCCAAAGGCTTATTACATCCTAGAGCTTATTATTCAGAACATGGCAACCAATCTGACTGAGCTAAAGAAGTTATAGAGGTGCAAAATAAAAGTTTGGGGTTAACTGTGGCAAAATCACTAAGTCATGGCCTCCAGTGGTCTATCGCTTTAGGGGCTTATATAGTAAGCATTGGTTTCAATGATGTATACCCAAAGAGACATGGATATAGAATTAATGAAGCTTAAGGCACTATTGTCTGCAGGATGCGAGAAAAGAGGCAACAGTTTATTCCTTTCAAGCTTTTCATCCAAGAGCGGCTAGCGCAAGCCCCAGGCAGAAGAGCCTGTGGCTAAAAGAAACTAAAGGGGAAACAGCCGCCTCCATAAGGCCATTCATACACAGCAGTCTGATCGCAGTACTGCTGTTCCATTTTGTTCTTCTGTCTGCCTCGCTTTTATCCCCATGCGCTGTGTGTTTACCAATTGAATCATGACTGAATCAGTCTGTTGAATCATGAGAGGAATAGGTTTAACTGCCTTTTTGATCCAGATGCGGAGTGGGATTAAAAAAAAATACAGATTATGCAACAAAAAGCAGGAATAATTACCAGCATGTGCTTATGGGATGGATAAAAGGCCGTTGAGGGTCCCTCCCCCCATAAGCGAGCAGTCTGGGAGCAAACACAGTGTGAAGGCGTGTAATTTTGCAGGCTTAACAACAGTAATCAGTCTGATGGCCCCTGCTGCTGAAACGCTAAGCCCAGGTGTCACTGTGCTCAGCTGACAGCACTCTTTCAAAAACCAGTTCACAGCCATTTGTGGAAACACATCAGTCAGAGTGAGTCACATCAGATCAGTGCCTCAGCACGAGCAGCAGAACGGAGTATCACTATGTCTATCTGTTTCAAATTGAACGGAATAAACTTTATTAGTTCCTGGCAATTCATAACTGGACATATAAACATCTGACACAAACATATAGAGACGTCTACAGATATCTAAAGATATTTTCATAGATAAGATAAATAAAATACGTAGCTCACCATGAATAATCAATGATCAAGCTGATGGCCTCAGGCACAAATGACACTCTCTGTTGAACAGAGCGACATCTAAGGCAGCGATAATGGTGGCCCAGGGGCGACAACTCAAAGGCAGAGTGGAGGACATGTGAAGGGTCTTTAATGATAGAGTGGTCTTTTTCAGAATCTGTTGTTTATGTAATAAAGCCAGTGACCTCAGTGGAAGACCAGTTATTTTAGAGCGAACGGACGTCAGGTGTTGTAACTGATATTTTTTACAATTAGTTAAAATAGCAAATTAAGGAGAATGAAACACTGTGAATAAAAGAGCTAAATTAATTCACAGAAAAAGATTTAAACATACCCAAGACAGTAAATGCATTGCTGGCATTTTTTATGAATTGCCTCAGTATTCTTTCCAAATTTTAGCTTCTCATCAAAAACCTTACTCTATGGGTTTCATAAGCCATTTATTTTCACTGCAACAGAACATATAATTTAATTTGGGGTGCCTAAACTTTTGCACATGATTGTTTGTAATGTATCACAACATATACATTCAGTACTGTGCAAAAGACAGAGACCGCTTTTCATTTATTTCATTTCCAGTACCATCTGAGATGTGCTCGGGCCCAGAGAACTCGGCGGTGTTTCTGCATAGAATTGATGAATGGCTTTCTCCTTGAATAATTGAGTTTGCATTTTTTGATGCAGCAGTGGACTGTGTTAGGTGACAGTGATTTTCCAAATTACTCCTGAGCCCATGTTGCTATGTTTAACATGCAATGCCGTCTGAGGGCTCACATTCAACAGTGGTTCCTGGCTTTGCCCTACACGGACTGAGATTCCTCAGGATTCCCTGAAGCTTTTCACACTTTCTTTGCAATCTTGAGTTGAGAAATGTTTGACAATCTTTTGTGGATGCTCCTTTTATACCCAATCATCGAAGTCTAAATCTGTTTATATTCACAAAACACAATCAGTTTGATCACCCAAAACATGATGTCATTGCTTTGTGCTTTGGTCAAAATAATTGTTTAAAAGAATTAGCAAATCACACATTATTTTATTGCATTTTACAAAATGTCCCAACTCTTCCAGAAATGGGGTTTCTATGTGCCAAATATTTCTTTATATTAAGACTAGCAATGTAGGATTTTAATTTTCACAGCACTCAATTGATCAAGTTTAATTGTGCTTGAAATAAAGCCTAATTTAATACATTCCACTGGAGACCCACTAATATCTCTGCCTTGACACCTCTCTTATTACTTTCCTGTTTTAATGTAATCCCTCAATACCTTATACCTTACAATTGAAATCTCTTATTACTGAAGACTCAGAGAATGTGTGAATAACGTTATTTCTCCCGTGGAAGTGTGTGGGTGGTACACAGGACATTCTTCATTCAGCAGAGTGTCCAAAGAGATTTGAGCCAAATATAGCATGAGCCTTTATATTAATAATTTCCCACAATTGTGGGATGCTTTTATGAGGCACTCTTTACAATATGCTACCATTCTTATAATTTGCAATCACTTGCCATATTAACCATGTTTGTCATTTTGTATGCAACAATTTACAAGAAAGATTTAGAGACAGAGAGAGAGAGAGAGAGAGAGAGAGAGAGAGAGAGAGAGAGAGAGAGAGAGACACTCAATAACTAAGTATACATTTTTTCAGTATCCTGTGCATCCACAGCTTCTGGTCTTTTTAGGATACTTACTTTCAGATTTTCAAAGAAAACTGCTGAGACACCCTTGAGGTGTTTTTCTGCTTCTCATGATCCAAGTAATCTCAGATACATTCAGTGATGTTGAGGTCTGGGCTCTCCATGGACACTCCATTATTTCTGCAAATTATTTCTTCAAAAATATATATGTTTATTTTAATTCATGTACTGTAAAAAACACATTAGATCAACTTAGTTTAGTGATTCTTCTTTAAAAAAACACTCATTTTTAGTGCTTTTTAACTTTTAGTAGTGCATCTTAGGTTATGCCAACAAAACAGTTTAAGTTGACCTTACTCAGTAAAAATAAAGAGTGAATGTGATAGCTTACTTAAAAGCTTAAATTGCTTAATTTTTTGTGGACTTGAGATTCAACTTGAGACTTGCATGTGTAGCTATGGAATTGACTTAAAACTTGTTTGTATTGACTGGGGAGTCGACTTGAGACTTTCTGGTACTAACTCAGGATTCAACTTAAAACTTGCTGGTGCTGACTTGGGACTTTACTTAAAACTTGCTGGTATTGACGCAGGACTTAAAACTTGCTGGCACTGATGCAGAACTTGACTTGAGATTTGTTGGTATTGACACAGGACTTGACTTGAATTTTGCCTGTATGGACTCGGGACTCAACTTCAGATTTGGCTGTACTGACTCAGTACTTGACTTGAGATTTGCCTGCATTGACTTAAGACTTGAGTTCAGACTTGCCAGTACTGTCTTTGGACTTGAGATAAAACTTGCCAATACTGACTCGTGACTTGACTTGAGACTTACCAGTATTGACTTGAGATGTGACTTGAGTTTTGCCAGCATTTACTCAGGACTTGACTTGAGATTTGGTTGCACTGACTCAGTACTTGACTTGAGACTTTCCAGTACTGACTCAGGACTTGACTGGAGACGTAGCAGTATTGATTTAGGACTTGGCTTGAGGCTTGGCTGTACTGACTCAGGACTCGACTTGAAACTTACCAGTTTTGAGTCGGGCTTGACTTGAGACTTGCCAGTATTGACTCAGGACTTGAGACTTGCTGTTACTGATTTGGAATTTGACACAGACCTTGAATTTGGAATTTGACTGAGGTCTATTTGTTACTTGCGACCCAGTGACTCGTTCCCTTTTCTGCTATTTAGCACAGTGAGTCATGCATAATTATGTTTTGAAGTTTTGGAGTGCACTTACTTTCCTCACATTATTCACGTCATAAAATTACGACACAGATTGGACAAAATAAAAATAATAAATTGGCAGATTGCTAATTGCTGTTTGGAGCATAAATCTGCCAATTTAAATCTTGGCTCATTACCCCACTTCTTACTTCAGAAGCATTTAATTCATCAAAAACACATGAAGAGCATTTTTGAGAAATTTTGAGGAATAAGGTTTGTCTGTTCATTTATCAAATGATGGGTATGACAATCTGTTCACTTCTGTCCCTGTGCAGGAAGCTGGCGAAGTCCACGCTGGTGTTGGTGTTGGTGTTCGGGGTACACTACATCATATTTGTTGGGATGCCGCACACCTTCGAGGGACTGGGCTGGGAAGTGCGCATGTACTGTGAGCTCTTCTTCAACTCCTTCCAGGTACGGGCTAATTATGTGTGAAGTGCTTGCATACCTAATGTAATCAGATATCACATTTAACATGCAAGTGGAGATGCATTTGATCTCTATTAAAGTTCTTGAAATTTCACTAAACTACTTTTTTAACAGAAAATTGATTTGATTTATTATGCTTAACGATGAGCTGTATCTGCGGTATATTTAACAATTCAGCACTGTATAAGTAAATCTGTTTGAAATATCTGAAAGTTTCAAAGTCTTACTTTTGGATGATATTATTTTCACCTTTTACATCCAGAAATATCCAGGCAACCCTTCTAATTAGTGAATTCAGTTATTTTAAGGTGCACCCATTGGCGACACAGATGTTCTATTGCACATAAACACCTTGTATAACCTCTATAGAAAGTATTGACCAATAGAATGGGACGCTGGAGCAGCTGCATATGAATCTAAAGTCACCATACCCAATGTGAAGCTGGTACAAAGCCCCCCCCAACATAGTGGAACTGCATTCTCTGGAGTGATGTAGCTTCATCCAATACCTTTGGGATGAGTTGGAGTGATCCACAACTGATCATCCACCATCAGTATCTGACCCCACTAATGCTCTTGTGGCTGAATGTAATCAGATTCTTACAGCAATGCAAACTTTTCTGTAGCTAAATAGTTATCTTTACCCATCAGACAGTATGGCTGGTTACCCTATATTAGCTATATAAAATCAATTTAGGCTGATGTTTACAATCTTAAAAGCAAAAATAGAGCTGCTAAAGAAGACGCAAAGAGATACCATGCAAATAAAACCTGATGCAGCTCAAATGCTGCACACTGAGCAGGCATGACTGTAATTTAACAATTACTAGCTTTAACTTAGCTATTATTCTTTTTAGACTGATAGTTAAATCTGCCTTGGTGGATTCATACTTGAAATGTGGTAGATACCGAATTAAGAGATAATGGAATTAAGCAAATCTACTGAGAACCCAGAATTAACCACTCTTAGCTTCACTCGCATTCAGCAGGAACCCCAATACTGTCACAATAAGTCCATATAATTCAACAGTGAAATTGAAATGTACTTTTCTGTTGAACACTAAAACATTTATTAAACAATCTATGTATTTATATCTATTGCAACTTACTACTACTACTATTAGTATTAATACTACTATCACTACTTCTACTGCTACTACTATTACTACTACTACTACTACTACTACTACTAGTGTTACTATTACTTTTGCTAATATCAGTACTTTTCTACTACTACTACTACTACTACTACTAGTGTTACTATTACTTTTGCTAATATCAGTACTTTTCTACTACTACTACTACTACTACTACTACTACTACTACAAGTGCTACTACTTCTACTGCTACTACTAGTACTAATCCTAGTACTACTACTACCATAACTACTTCTACTGCTACTACTATTACTACTACTACTACTAGTGTTACTATTACTTTTGCTACTATCAGTACTTCTACTACTACTACAAGTGCTACTACTTCTACTGCTATTACTAGTACTAATACTAGTACTACTACTACTATAACTACTTCTACTACTACTACTGTTACTATTACTTTTGCTACTATCAGTACTTTTCTACTACTACTACTACTACTACTACTACTACTACTACAAGTGCTACTACTTCTACTGCTACTACTAGTACTAATCCTAGTACTACTACTACCATAACTACTTCTACTGCTACTACTATTACTACTACTACTACTAGTGTTACTATTACTTTTGCTACTATCAGTACTTCTACTACTACTACAAGTGCTACTACTTCTACTGCTATTACTAGTACTAATACTAGTACTACTACTACTACTATAACTACTTCTACTACTACTACTACTGTTACTATTACTTTTGCTACTATCAGTACTTTTCTACTACTACTACTACTACTACTACTACTACTACAAGTGCTACTACTTCTACTGCTACTACTAGTAATAATACTAGTACAATTACTACTACTATTACTACTTCTACTACTATTACTACTTTTAGTACTACTACTACTACTGTTACTATTACTTTTGCTACCTTCAGTACTTTTCTACTACAAGTGTTACTACTTCTACTACTAGTACTAATACTAGTACAATTACTACTACTATTACTACTTCTATTACTGCTACTTTTACTACTACTACTACTACTATTACTATTATTACTATCGCTACTTTTCTACTACTGTTATAACTACTACTATTATTATTACTACTACTACTACTACTACTACTACTACTACTACTACTATTACTACCACTACTATTAATTACTATTAATAACTACAGTAACACTTTATTTGGATGGTCCACTGCTTTGTAGATGCTCAGTCTTTCTTTAACTAACATTCAATTAAATATCTATTAAATGCAACTGAACTTGAAGTTGTGTGTAAAAGATTCTATTACATCTAACCCTAACCCTAAACCTAACCCTAACTCTAACCTCAAAGCAAAACCTACATCTACTCCTAGACCTAACCCTAACCATAATTTTGCTGATAATCAACTATCACCAGAAGGTATCTCTAGATCATCTATAGGGAACCATCCAAATAAAGTGTGACCATAACTACTTAATAATAATGTCATTACTATTTATAATCTGTTGTTATTACTAGTAATAATAGTTGTGGTATGTGATAGCAGAAGAATTGCTTATGAACAATAATGCTCTTAATTTACTGTAAATGTTTTGTAGTTAAAACTCATCCTTGGACAAAATCACACTTTTTTTTCTTTGCATTTTTTTTTTAAATGACCCCCACTGGAGAACATCACCTGCTTTAAATGTTCAGTAAATAACTGGTGATGCGTCAGTGTAGTGCTGTAGTATTTTCTCCTCTACAGCTGTTATAGAATGAGTGGGCTGAATACTAATCCAGTATTCTGCAAAAATATTTACCATCTGCCTGATGGTTTTCCCAGCTCCGTATATGTACAGTAATTCCGTTCCAAATGGCGCTCCATCTTGGCAGGCAGTGCTGACGGCTGTGCTTTCACGTGTCCCTGTATACGGCTCCATAAAGCGCAGCCTGACAGGTGCTGGTTAGGCTGAAGATCTACATGCTGAGCAGTTCGGATGGCTCATGTCTTCTGCCAGATCCTCTTCTCATCTCTCCATCTCCTCAGATCACATTCTGCATGGGCTTCTCCAGCGGGCCAAGCCTGACAGAAGCTCAGACCCACTGCATTCCCAGAAAAACACTTGCGCTCACATCAAACTCTGCAAAGTTGGCTTCGCGTGCAGAATCTTGCTGGAAGGGGGAGAGACACACCATCACAAATCTTCCCAATGATCCTAATCCCTCCAGCAGGGCTCTAACAAGCAATATAAAAGTCACAAACTAACCTTTAATCTGCCTCTTGGGATGTGCAGTGCCAAATAAACAGATTAACATTTTAGACCATTTTATTGATGTTTTTATTTGTTGTATTAAATCACTACTGTTCAGCTGCGGGATGGTGCAAATGGGAAGTATGTAAATGAGTTTGTTGAATGAATAGACAGTTTGTGCAGCACTATTGTGTCACTAACATGCTGTCAATCATTAGTGCAGAATGTTTATTCAGGACTGAAGTGCAATTACACCTAAAACACGTCTTGAAAGGGAGTGATGTAAACAAGCTGCATGCAGTTTGGCATTAAAGAAGAGTTCCACCGATTGTTTCTAAATTTCTGCATAATTAAGTGGCTTAGATGTAGACAAAGTCATTCAGAGTGGTTTGGTTTGAAATGCACCACTCAAGAATAAGTGGTGGTGATAGGAACCAGAGGTGTTTAATTCTTCTTAAAGCTATCATTACATGAAACGGTAACAAATACATTTCTACATGCCTGAGACATTGTTTAAAGAGGAACACCACCAATTTTGTGAAATTACTTAATCATTCAATGGTTAGATGTAAACAAAACCATTCGGAGTGGTTTGGTGTGAAATGTGCCTTTCTAGAGAAATTTACTGAGTCAGAATTGTACACAATTTTAGTGCACATTATAACCACAAAATGGTTATGAATGCTTTGCTTGATACCTGAGACTTTGTTTTGTGATAGTTCTGTTGTCAAGTTTTGGCCTAAAATGAATTTTTAGTATAAACTTTTACTCCAGGATTACTTCAGTGTTTCCTCTCAAAACCGCATTCTCAACTGAGACCAATGCGCACAAGCTAACGTGCTTTTGTTGTTACTAGCCTGTAGCCAGCAGCAGCTTTGGTTTACAGTTTATTTTTACAGTTTTCTTACCAATTTTGGAAAATTCCAGAGTAGGCAGAGAACTGTAGGAGGTCTGTTTCCAAAATGTCGCAGAGCCAAATCGATTTGAACCAGAACACACAAATGTGTTGCAGCAGCTTGAAGAAGAGAGAGCCAAAAGGGGTAGAGGGAGAGAGAGAGACTGAACCCTGTACAGGGCGTTGTAAGAAAAACACAGTACCCAAGAAATATTTTTTGCGGACTTAGCACTAGTTTTACCATTATCAGCGTGACATATAAAACCTTATAAGACACATGTAAGTTTACTGGTCATTTTGAATAGCAAATAAAATGATAATATTTGTAGTGTAGACATATGGACGTTTGGTTCCTAGTACTGTAATGGTGCACAATTTTGACTCACTCTGAATGATTTTGTTTACATCTAAATCACTGAACAATTAAGTAATTTTGGAAAATCTGTGGAGTTCTCCTTCAGTGATAGTTTCGAGAAAGTTTTGGCCATTTTTGGGAGAGGGTGTTATGCATGCAGGGTGTTATGAGGCAAAATAGTCCCACCAAAAAACATATTTTTTCCAGATTTATTATCATCTACATTACATTTAAATACTCAGAACACATGTATGGGTATTTACACTCAGAAGACATGTATAGGTTCTGCATAAGACATATATAAGCTCTGCATAATGAATAAAATGACTATATTTGGATTGTAAATATGATTATAATGCTGTTCTTGAGTTAACTCAATTTGAAGACACCAAAGTTCAGCCAACTAAAACATTTTTAACCCCTTAAAATCTCAGGCTTATTACATACTAAGTCTTATTATTCAGTAACTACAGGGACGTCAATGCAAACTGGCTGAGCTATTCTTTGGTAATTGAAGTGTATAATAAAACTTTGGGCCCATTGATGGGCTCTGGCTATTTAAGGGGTTCAACTGTGTTTAGGTTCATGCTTCAGTTTTGAACATAATCCATGGACAGGATGCATCTGATTTGCACCTGAAACTGCTGCAAAAAGCTTAATATATCAGGGCCTGAGTGCTGATGTATAGCTGTAGCATTGTTAGCAGCCATAGCGTTTGCCACTTTGTTGTTACTGCTGTGTACTTCCTGACTGTGTAATCAAATGCGTTTAATAATATATCCCAACTGCTCACTCTGTATAAACCTGCCCAAGGTGAACATGAAAGGGTTTAACTTGTAAGGAAACGCTTTCTGTTGCATTTGATTCTTGAGACGGCGTAAGTCTTTGTTTGCTTTCCTCTGGGTCTAGCTTCCTGCTCAGCTGTGGCTTTCTTCTAATCTCTTACAAAACAGTGGTTTACTCTCCGAGCCAATGCTTTTCACTTTGCAAAGCAATGCAATTAAACTGTGATCTGATAGCTATTTGTATGCATGAAATAAGCTATCTGCTAAATTCATGCTTTGATGGTATTGCTTTGCACATACTTTGCTTTCTTTCCATTATTTTCAAGAAAGTTTTCTTTGAAGGACTATTCTGCATGACAGTTTCATGTCAGGGACATAGCTGCAGGGGGTGGCTATGCAATCCCATTTGGAAGCCAGGCCCACCCACATTTTTGATGGCTCACTCCAATGCCGATGAAAATAATACAAAAATGAAAGGTCGCTATGGGCAAATGTGCTGTTTTCTTGCATCCTCATGACTCTTTATCACCATATCACCAGCTAGAAAGTAATAGCTGACCATGGTAATGAAACCAAGTTCAACCATTTAACCATTTCCCTTGGATATCTTTGCCTAGTGCTGTTAAATGTAGGTCTCTAGTCAATTAGCTTTTACTTACTAACTAGTTAAATGTGAGATAGTTGTGTGCAGTGTAAGAAACCATCTATAAACAGGATCCAAAAACTCTGCCACCTTCTCTGGGCCCAAGCTCATTTAAAATGGACTGAGGTGAAGTGGAGAACTGTCCTGTTGTCCAACGAATCAACATTTGAAATTCTTGTTGGAAATCATGGACGCTGTGTCCTCCGAGCTAAAGACCACTCAGCTTGTTATCAGTGAACAGTTCAAAAGCTAGTTATCATGATAGTATAGAGGAGTATAGTGCGCATGGCATGGGTGACGTGCACATCTGTGAAGGCACCAATAATGCTGAATGATATAAACATGTTTTGGCAACACATGCTGCCATTCAGATGACGTCTTTTTCAGGGAAGGCCTTGATTATTTCAGCAAGACAATGTCAAACCACATTCTGCATGTATTACAACAGCATTGCTCCATATTAAAAGAGTCCAGGTGCTAAACTCGCCTGCCTGCAGTCCAGACCTGTCACTACTGAAAACATCTGCTGCATTATGAAATGAAAACTAGCAGACCCCAAACAGTTGAGCAGCGAAAGTCCTGTATCAAGTAAGAATGGGAAAAGATTTCACTTTCAAAACTACAGCAGTGTCTCCTCATTCCAAAACGCTTACAGAGTGTTGTTAATTGAAGAGGTGATGAAACACAGTGGTAAACATGCCCCTGTCCCAACTTTTTTGGAACGTGTTGTTGGCATTAAATTCAAAATGGGCATATATTTTTCAAAAAAAAAAAAATAGAATTTCTCAATTTCAAGATTAAATATGTTGTCTTTGTAGTTTTCATGGTTTACATGATTTGCATATCATTGCATTCTAATTTTATTTACATTCTGCACAGCTTCCCAACTTTATTGGAAACGGGGTTATACGCTTTCACTCAACTACAAATCTACCATTGCAAGACAAAACAGTACAACGAGACTAGTCATTTGCTATGTTCCACCTCTGCAGCTCAGTGTACGTGTGTAGCAGCTGGGGGTGGGGTCCTGTGAAGACTGGTGGGGTAATCATCTGTGCACACCTGTTCTTCATCCCCCCTGCCTTTAAGCCCTGTTTTCTTCACAGTAGGGGGTTGGATGAGAGCGAGAGAAAGAGAGCCTTAGTTGCACAAAAGCCCCTGGATCTTTTATGTTTTATCTTCTGTCTGTTCCCCATATCATTTCTCCTCAACAGTTCACAATTCTTCTCAAAGGTTACAAATTCCCCATTTCTTCATTCTGCCTGTGTCCCACCCAGACAGTCTGCTTTTTTGAAAACACCAGCTGCTCTTTACACTATGTGAACATTTCATAATAAGAAATCTGATACAAATTATTTAAAATTACTTGGAATGCAAGCTTGCATCATTAACTTGCAAACTTCACTTACAAAAGACTTGGGACAGTGTGTAAAGCACTAATATAAACAGAAAGCAAAACAACAACAACATATGAGTTCTCATATGTAAATGTGATTTCTGCTCCAACAATGCTGGGACAGGTGCATGTTTACCACAGTTACATCACCTTTCCTTTTCACAACGCTCATTTGGGAACTGATGACAGTAATTGATCCAGTTTGGAAGGCAGAACAATATGTCATTCTTCCGTTTTCAGTTGTGCAACTGACTACGCAGCCAGGCAGAATGTGACTCGGCATTGTCATATTAAAATAAGCATGGATGTCGCTGAAAAAGATGTCATTTAGAAGGCAGTAAATGTTGCTATAAAATGCAGCATTTCAGCATTGAACTCTTCTGTGTTTCAGGGCTTCTTTGTGTCCATAATCTACTGCTACTGCAATGGAGAGGTGAGTTTAAAGAGCAAAGTGTTCATTGTACAGTCTCATTTGGGCCTCCTGCTCAAACCCAAAGCCCAACATAAAACATCGGACATACAGCCCTGTGCAAAAAATCAGAAATCACCCTTTATTTCTTTCATTTCTAGCCATTAAGTACATTTATTCATTTTTAGTAATAAAAAAAAGAAAATTACACAAAAGCCTCGACAACATTTCAGTCCACTGCTTTATTGGAGCTTCTGTTGTTTTCAGGAGACTCACTTTCAGTTTTGTCAAGAATTCTGCAGGGATATTTTTCCATGCCTCCAAAGTTCAGTCTTAGAAGTTGATTGCATTTTCCGCTTCTCACAATCCAAGTAATCCCAAACGCATTCAGTGATGTTGAAGTTATATTGAATAAAGTATACGCTCTTTTCAAAATACAACAGAAACCAAGTAATAAAAATCAAACAGCTTAATGTGTTGTGTTTATTATATTTCACAGTTTTGCAAATAGCTCTTACAGTCAAACTTGTATATTCAGTATATATTTTTTGAATAATTCTAAATCTAAATCTAAATCCAAAATGCAAAGAACTGAAATGTGGTGGAATTTACAGTTTTCATCAAGCATTGCATCATTACCTGATTAATCATATTCAAATCAGATTTATACTCCTTTCTTCTATCATTTTAAGGTCCAGACAGAAATTAAGAAGACGTGGACGCGCTGGAACCTGGCCTTCGACTGGAAGGGTCCGGTGGTGTGCGGCAGCTACCGCTATGGCTCTGTGCTGACCGGACTCAACAACAGCACCAGCAGCCACTCCCAGCTGGCCACTGGAGGTCTAGCTACTCGCTCCACCACACTGTTCTCCAGCCGGGTGTACCGCAGCACTGGAGCACCTTCTATCAGTGCTCATGCCTCACTGCCCGGCTACGTGATCAGTAACTCAGACGTAGACAGCCTGCCGCCCTCCATACCCGAGGAGTCGGAGGAAAGCGCTAAGCAGGTGGACGATATCCTGCTAAAAGAGTCGCTGCCCGCACTGCCCAGCAGTGGGCCAGAGGATGATGAGGAGACGCTGTAGATAATGAGGATGTCAAGTAAAGTTGAGGTACTACTGATCTTAGATGCTAACATGGATGGCAGTGAACATGGTGCGTCTGGACTGAGCTGGACAGGTTTGAACCCCTTTAAGGAACGTTATGATGTTTTACTTGTTTTTGTGAAACTTTTGACCTTTGGATGGGTTCTTTTAGACATTTCAGGGCCCACTGTGAAAATAAATGGGAAGTAACGTGAAAAGCTGACTGGCTTCATATGTGCTTAGGACAATCATTGGAACCTTCAGAAGTGAGCACAACCCTAGCAGGAATGACAAGAAGATAACATTCAGAATTGAACATTCAGAGTTATTAGCTTCATTTTGTTATACTATTCAAACATAATTATGTAATTACTTAAGTAATTACATAGTTACAAAACTAATTACATCTGCATTCTGCATCAACAGGTCAGAGTCTGCACTTGTGACTTTTTTCCATTTTAAAAATTGACACAAAAGTAAAGAATGACTATTCTGTCAGTAATTACTGTTTAGTTACATATTAACAATGTGTTACTACAGTGTAACTACTGGTGATGTATTCATTGTTACATATGAATTACTGTAGTGTAGCATAGTGTAAATACAAGTATATCAACTTCAGTTTTTACTCATGTAACTACACAAGTGTGTCTTGGGTGTTATAGCAGCATATTTTTGCTTTTGTAATTACACATGTAATAGGGTGAGGGTAATTGCAATTGTATGAATTACTGTGTTTCTGATTGTAACATTATGAAAGTATTTACTCTACTATCTTCTTAAGAAATGCAAACGTTCCTAATGTTCAGCTGTAGTAGTATGCTTGGGGAAAAACAGCTGTTCACCCTGTTTTACATGTGTAATTACATAGGAAATGATACTATCAATTTGTATCAAGAACACTTAACAGTAAAACTGAAGTTAATGCGCATGTGTATTTACATTAGCTGTACGACTGTAGTCCATCTGTAACACCAAATATATCACCAGTAGTTACATTGTTATTGCATGCATTGTTAATGAGTAACTACACAGTTATTAGTGACTAAATAAAGTAGAACCACAAATTTAAACTTACAAACTCTTCTAATTACAAAGACAAAAGTGGTGTAATTGAAAATTTGGAATGGATTGAAAGTTTGGAATCTGCACTTTTTCCACATCATTTCTTGTTTGAATGGGTTACAAATGAGAAATAATTTAAAATAGGGTTGTTGCATCACAGATTCATGGTCAGTTGATGGTTACCTGCCAGTGCATTTCCTCCAATCTCCATCTTCCAGTTATAGTTTCTTAAACCAGTTATTCTCAGTCTATTTTAGCCATGACTGCCCTCCCTCTCATAGAGCAGGGTTCCCCAGCTCTGGTCCTGGAGGGCGTGTTTCCAGTGCAGTTTTTTCTTGATTTCCTGCTCAAACACACCTGATTTCACTCATCTCCTAATTGCCAGACGTAGTAGGTGTGTTTCACCAAATTTTGTTGGATACCGGGCCTCCAGGACCAGATTTGTAGAACCCTAATTAGACCAGCCGTCTCATTTTGCCACTGAGGACCCTGAACTTCATAGTGCCAGTAGATTAGCTCTGCTGCAAACACATCTGTTGTAAACACATTGCTAGTTAGTAATTCCACACTGTGGCTACCAATCAGAAAACATCACCACTGAGCACATCCTGAAACTGTATTAATTGCAGACTTACAGTTAAATCTACATTCCTATCAACTCCTATTAAAAATGGCTAGACTCGAGTATAAATATAGGGCCTATTTTCTTAGGTTTACTTGATGCTTGGGTGGGTTCAGATACCCAATCATTCACACACAGTCTTCCAACTTCTCCTGTCAGCTCAGAATGGTGTACATAGTGATAGAACCCCTGTAGCTTGTTTTCTGGTAAAACTGGGGGTGCTATGACTTACCCCTAGTGGTCCAGTTGTGATATTTCAAATCATTTTTACATGATCTGTCTTTACACTGTATGATTAATCAGGCTGTTTTTGTTACTGTGCCTGTAAGACTGATATTTGTACATGAGTACTGATCGGCTGTTCTTTATAGTGCCTGGATAAAAAGCAGCCCTAAAACACTTCAGTGTGAGAGGGCGGAGCTAAACTGCAGTAGGTTGACTAGGCAGGTATATGTAAATTTCTTTAAAAAAAAAAAACAGTGATTTTAAAACATGCTGTGTATGTGGACTGTAAAGCCAGGGGAGTACATGAATTTGAAATTTTAACCACATTTACATATCACTTTTGTTTCCAGTAAGTGAGGAAAATTTGGTTTTCCATGCAATGAGCCCTTTAAATGAATTTAATTAAAAAAAAAAAATACAGAGATGATCTTCTGAAATGTAACTGCATGCATAGAAGAAAATATATTGCACTAAAATGTAGAATTTTTATTTTGAAATGCAGCTTAGAAGATTTAAAAATGACTATTTATTTATTTATTTATTTATTTATTTATTTATTTAACCAGGCACACACAAACACACAAAGCACAACAACCAAAATAAGACATATAACAGAACAACAAATTTATATGAGTACATTAATTAAACATCCTCAAATGTTAAGTGCTGTAACGAAGTACAGTTGTTTGCAGTTGTTTGGTTTTTTTTCAGCATTGTTGAGATTTTTGTATGAATGCTGCCTAAATGTGATCTGATCTTCATTTAAGCCTTAACACTTTCCTGGATGAAAGGTTTAAACATGTAAGATAATTGATAGAAATATATATGTACACATATATGAACTGTCATATTTAACATAAATAACCTTCTACATTATATAGCTGCTAAGTCTGGAAAGAGCTTAAGAAGTATTTTAAATAATTCCTCTATTCAAAACTTTCAAAAGATTCAAAAATCTTTATGTATATTGTTGATGTGTCTTGGTGACTTCAGATACTCTGAGGCAGGAAACTCCCTCCACCATGCTTCACAGCTGGTGTTGATATGCATCAATTTGTGTTCTTGAACAGAACACTGTGTACTTTTGACAAATTTGTCTCCAGTGGTGCTGCGGAATGACCAGCATCCCTAGGCCCTGGCTATTGAGCTTTAACCCTAGGTCTTGTTTATTTTGTTTCAGTATCTTATTTCATAAGTAAATATTTCTTTGTCCATATTTCATGCATTTAATTGTATGATATATAAGCTGACTGAGGTTATTGGTCAATGCTAAAATCACTGTATTTTTTTTTCTGAATGCTACAAAAATGTTGATTTTCCAACAGCGAGTCTGTTGACGTTATGCATTTTTAGCTGACTGTATCAATAGACTTACAGACCTGTGCAAAAGTCGGAGAAGTCCCATTATTTATTTTATTTATTTCCAATAAAACAGTCATTATCTACAAACTATTCATGTTTTTAAGCTATTTAAAAAGAGGACTCAACAAAATAGAAATATAATATGTTTTCAGTATTTAGTGTTTGTAAGTTTCCAGCCTTACTCTGCACTTGAGGTCCTTTGCAAAGCCTTGTGCTTGAAAAGAATAACATTATTACTGTGATTGGGATGAAGATCAGATCCCATTTTAGAAGCCATTCATGTTGTTCTCCACTATCCATGGCTGATTCTCCTATTTTTTTTGTTTCGTTTAAAGTGAATTCGGATCATGCATGTTTCTGAAGGTTATGTGAATGGTAAGTTTGTGGAAAAGAGTGTCCTGAAAAATTCTGAAGGACTTGGCTGATGGACGCTGTCAGTTTCTGTTCACAAACTGCTTGTTTTTTGTACCGAGAAGGGTACAATCACAGCCCATGAACCTTTTTTCACTTTGGCTATCCAGCATTGCTGAGTGCCTCAACATGCTTGGAGGAGAACACTAAGAATTCAGTTCCTCTGCACAATAGTGTAGCGCCACAAAGGGCTGTTGACCATCCATCTCTTTCAGTGAAACTGTGGCCAGATGCCTTCATAAGGACCAGACACAGCTACACATGAGCCGACCAGGACAGCATGCCTTCTGCATGGAGCAACAGGGCTTATTTCGGAGATGTCATACTGCCAAGATGAGAATTCTGTTCATCTTTTTTGTGTAAATAAATCGATTCCTGGACAAAAATAAAATGTACAGTTTACTACTCATGTAACTCTAAGCTCTAATTAAAACACAACACAAGGGCTACTGCTGTAATGGGCTGAGCTGAGTAAGTTATTTGTGGAAAAGTCCTTCACTCTTCAAAATAAAGATGCTGAAAAAGGCTCAATTCCAAAAATGTTGGGACGTTACTGGAATGCTAAAAAAGGCAGAAAGCATTGATTAGTACACACTCAGATTATGCAGCCGTGCTGTTTTAACACAGGCAGAATATGGCTCGGAATTGTCATCTTGAAATAAGCATGGACATCCCTTAAAAAACATCATCTAGAAGACAGCAAATGTTGCTCTGTATATCTTTCAGCATTAATGGGGTCCTCACAGATGTGCAAGTTACCCACTAATACACCCCACATACCATGACAGGTCCTGCTTTTGAACTTTACACCGGTAACATTCTGGATGGTCTTTTACTTTTTTGGCTCAGAAAACACAACATTCATTATGTCCATAAACAGTCTGACTCGTCAAACCACAAAACACGTTTCCACTGTGCATCCATACATTTCAGAAGAGTTTGAGCATCAAGAAGTCAGCATTAGTGGTTGCAGTGTCAAGGTTTCACTGTCTGACCACATTAGACATTTACACTATGCATCAATCCATTTTAGATGAGCTCAAGCCCAGAGAAGTCGGCAGTGTTTCTGAACACTGTTAACATCTGGCTTACACTGTGCATAGCACAGTCTTAACTTTCTTTTTTTGTGGATGCAGTGATGGGTGGTGTTTATTGACAAAGTATTTAACAACCCATGTAGTGATCTCCATCACAGATGGTTTTTGGTCTTGATTTTTACGCATGATTTCTTCAGATTCCCTGAATCTTTCATGATATTATGCACTGAGGAGGGTCAAATACCTACAATCCTTGCAATCACTCATTGAGGAACATT